GCTCAGAATTGTCTCCTAGAGGCCTCTGTCTGTCCATCTGTTTGTCTGCCCTAGGGAAGGGTGGTCCTCTCCCAAGCTCCCATTCACGTGCTTCCTCCCACTCTGAACCTTCACACTTTCTTCCCTACTGTGTGCCAGACCCACATGATGAGCCCTGGGGCCATCCCCTCCCCCAGTGAGGATGATTATCAAGGAGGAGAGACTGAGGGTTCACTTAACAGCCAAGCCAATGTCACTCCGGCCTCAGGGCCTCTCGTTTGTGCGGACCCCTTCAAAGCCACCTACCTAAGTTTGAAGAGTTCCACCTCTACACATACAAGCTTCACAGCCCTGTGAAGTCTGGTTTTGTCCCAGGGCGGGGACAAACATGAGTAAACAAACATGTATAATTGCAAGTGTGTCAATCCTAGGGAGAAAAACGGGTATGATGGCAGAAAGTAATGATGGGGGCATGTATTGTAGATGGGGAGGAATGGTCCTCTTTGAGGAGGTGACAAGCTGAGGCCTGAAGGGCCAGAAAGACCTGGCCAGGCAAGGAGCACAGGGAATAAGACAGATAAAATATGTCCTGGAGCCTCGGTCTCCCATACGTGAGGTGGGGATGACAGGCACAGCAGGATGGCCTGTGAAGGGAAGTGGCAGATGCAGGAACACCACACAGTAGGACCTGTGGCCAGAACCCCTAGCTGAGCTTGGCATTGCCCTTAATCGGCTTTTGTCCTCTCGAGAGGGCCAGGCAGGCCGGCCACCCTCTCTCTCTCCCCCGCCCCCAGCAGCCGGGGCCAGCTGTGCCAGGGCCAGCCTGGGGGGCGGGAGCTGAGATCACTGGGCCTTTGCTCCCTGAATCCACGGCGGGGGGGGGGGGGGGGGGGGGGGGGGGGGGGGGGGGGGGGGGGGGGGAAGGCAGCCTGGCTGGGTGAGAGGGGACAGCTTGTGAGGCAAACTCCTGGCTCCTAACAGAGAGGAGGGTTGACAAGCTAGATAACTCAGTTTCTAATTGTTGAGGTGGTTGGGTGTGTGGACTCTTGGGTCCAAGAGAGGAGGGGGCTGGGGCCTGGACTCCTGGGTTCCGAGGCAGAGGAGCCTGGGACAAGGACTCCCATTTGAGCTGAGCCTGGAGACAAGCAGAGGGGACAGGGAGTTGGGCTCCCTGCTGTGTTTACAGCACGTGGTTTCACTGTCCCTTCTGGGTGGGAGGTGGAGCAAGTGGCCACACCCCAGGCAGGCCTGGCCCCTCCCAGGTTTATGGCCCCAGGCAGCTACTGGCACTAGCTACAGTCCAGCCTGGCCCAGCCCGCAGCTCAGCCTGGGGGAAGCTCAGAAGAGGTCTGGGAGGGGTGAGTGCACTGTCTGCTGAGAGATAGGAATGGCTATCGTAAAACCCCAGAACCGGGAATGGGAAGGGAGGGGAGACACCTTTTTCTGGGAGCTGAGGGAGCCATCCACCCAGAAGCCAGGCAAGGTGCTAAGTGGGCTGCAGGAAGGAAGTCTCTGGACCAGAGGGCACCATTTCCACCAAGGGGGGCAAAAGTAGTTTGTCCAGGACCTGAGTGACAGTACAGGGATCCCAGAGGGAAAATCACCAGGGGAGTGGGACCTAGTCCAGGGCAGGTTTTTTGTAATTTTTTTTTTAATTTTCTTGTAATGTTTGTTTATTTTGAGAGAGAGACAGAGAGCAAGCAGAGGAGGGGCAGAGAGAGAGGGAGACAGAATCTGAAGCAGGCTCCAGGCTCTGAGCTGTCAGCACAGAGCCCAACACGGGGCTCAAACTCACAGGCTGCAAGATCCTGACCTGAGCCAAAGTTGGACATTTAACCGACTGAGCCACCCAGGCACCAGGGCAAGTTTGAGGGCCGACCTGTGTCTCTCAACCCAGAGATCTGGGTTTGAATTCTGGGCTGCCACTTTCAGTGCAAGCTTCAGCTCCTTACTGAACACCTCTGAGTTTCGATTTCTTTGTAGAATGGGGATGCTACCAATAATAGGTGTAAAGCAAACAGGCAGTCTGGGTCTCAGGGTTAACAAGCACTAAATGAACACACACACAGAAAGTTCTAAGAGCAGTTCTGCCACAGAGTGAGCCCAAGGCTAATGGCAGCGGTGAGTACTGCTGTCCCAGGCAAGGGAGTGGGGCTGGCCCATGAAATCTAAGCCAAGTGGAGAGGCCTGGAGGCCAGGGGCCCCAGCTGGGGAGGAGTGGGACCGAGTTGTGGGTATCCCACAAAGGAACAGAGAGGCAGCTAGAGTTTGGAGGGGGATCCACAGCCAGACTTGAGGGATCAGGAGGGGGCAGGAGTGACTCCTCAGCTACAGGTAAGGCTGGAATTATGAACTGGGTTCAGGAAAAGAATTGGGCTTGAGACCAGGGTCCTGGGACACCACTAGGTAGATGGGGAGACTGAGGGCTGAGCTCTCTCAAATACTGGTGGAGGGGAAGGGTCTGTGGGTGATGCCTGGGGCCTAAGGAGATGGGAAGGGGGCCTAAACTCTTCCCTTGGGTCCAAGGGAGGAGGGGTGGTCCAACCCTGCCTAATCAGGCCTCCCGACTGGCCCACAGCCTCACGGCTCATGCACAGCATGGACCTGCACACGATGACACAGTCGCTGGTGACTCTGGCGGAAGACAACATGGCCTTCTTCTCGAGCCAGGGCCCTGGGGAGACAGCACGACGGCTGTCAGGCGTCTTTGCAGGCATCCGGGACCAGGCGCTGGGGCTGGAGCCAGCCCTGGGCCGCCTGCTGAGCGTGGCACACCTCTTTGACCTGGACGCAGAGACGCCGGCCAATGGGTACCGAAGCCTGGTGCACACAGCCCGCTGCTGCCTGGCGCACCTGCTGCACAAATCGCGCTACGTGGCCTCCAACCGCCGCAGCATCTTCTTCCGCACCAGCCACAACCTGGCGGAACTTGAGGCCTACCTGGCGGCCCTCACCCAGCTCCGGGCCCTCGCCTACTATGCCCAGCGCCTGCTCGCCACCAACCAGCCCGGGGAGCTCTTCTTCGAGGGCGATGAGGGGCTCATCGCTGACTTCCTGCACGAGTACGTCACTCTGCATAAGGGCTGCTTCTATGGCCGCTGCCTGGGCTTCCAGGTGAGCCCCCTGCCCTCCTCCTCTGAGCCCACAGGCCCCTGACCTGGCCCAATAGCATAGTTCAGCACCCACAGTGGTCAGTATTACTGGATTCCAAAAATAGTAGATTCAGAAAGTGGACGCTGTCTAGGGCTCAGACAGCTGCACTAGGAGGTCTCAAACTTGTGGCCCCTGGGCTGGGCCAATTCCACCGTGCAGTGAGAAATCTTTAACTCACCTAGCTCTTTGCACCGGGATCCCCACCGCTCTCTATCGTCCCACACTCAGGAGATTTGTTCACTCTTTTCTGTGACCTGTCCGGCCCCTGAAATCATTTGGGGTCCCTTAGGAGGGTAGTCAGTAATGTTCTCAAAGGCCTGTTTATAAGAGCACACCCCGTTCAGTCATCCCCACTGGAGGCTGGGGGCAGGAGGGAGAAAGCGTGCTAGCTTGCATTTTGCAGAGGTTCAAGGGGGCCTTCGTCACAGCTGCTCAGCGGGACCCCAGTTGGCCTGGGCTTTTCACTCAACTGTAGAATCAGGATGTTCAGGCCACAAGGAAGGCCAAGGAGCACATCCAAGTTGGTGACAGCGAGGAAGACCTCTCCTCCCTGAACCAGGGCAGTAACTCCCAGGTGTAGGTCTTCTCCCACCCTCTGCCCACCCCACCCTACCCCCAGGGAGACACCGCTCATCTCTGTACTGACAGGAAGGCAGCCTAGGAGCCTTTGGACTCCTAGGAAAACTAGTTTGGGGACTGAGAATTGGGGGTCCTTGGGGCTCAGAGCAGAGACCCAACTTGCCACTATGTGACGCCAGTGAAGGGTCTCTTGGTCTCCAAATCCTTCAGATCCTCTCTGTGCCTCCCCCCCCCCCCACTGCAACCCCCCAGCTGAGCTTAGCCGACTCTCAGCCTTCATCCCACCCCACCTTTCCACGCTTCCCCACAGGGCGGCCTGTCCTCACCAACCCAGCCTGGGTGTTCCTGGGAAATTCCTTTCACCTAGGCTGACCCCACAAATATTGATCAGCCCAGCTGAACCTGTGTCCCAGCCATGACCTTGAAGTCATGGGAGAGAAACCCTGGGGCCACCCAAGCCAGCATTTCAGCCACAATGTCCAGGCACCACTGTGCTCCCTGGCCCACTGGGCCCCTGGCCAGGGGTAAAGTCATGCCTGACAGCTATTCTCTGAGGGCCCAGCTGCTATGCTGCAGGCCAGCTCCCTGCTGTAAAATGTCAGCCCAGCAGGTCAGAGGCCTCCTGTGTGGCTCTTTTCCAGCCTCTGTTCAAGTACTTAGCACACAGTAGGATGTAGGCCAATATCTGGTAAATGAACAAAAGAACCCTGCTGGCTCCTTGCCCGGCTTCCTGTGCCTTTTTTCCCTCTGATCTTGTACCCGCCCCCCCATCTTGTCTTAGCTGCCCAGCTCCTCTCTCAGATGTGTTCTCCCCACTTGGCTGTCTTTCTGCCTCAAGATCTCTGACCCTTTCTGTCTCTGAACATCTCCTGTCTGTCTGCTGCTGCCCAGGAACTGGTCCCCATCTGCCTGGCCTCATCTCTGTCCTCGCTGACTTTCAGGAAAGCCCTGCATCACTTACTCCCAGCCCTCTATGGCTCCACCCACATCTGGAATAAATCCAAATTCCTCAAGCCCTATGTGAGCACCCTTTGCTTCTCTGACCTCGGCCACTGCCCCTCTCCCCTGGTTCACTCTGCTCCAGCGACTTGTTATCCCTGCCAAGCACAGGCGGCCTCAGAGCCTTTGCACCTGCTGTGTCCTCTGCAGGGAACAGCCTTCCCTCACTTCCTCTGGATCCCTCCTCAAGTGCCCTCCTAGATACCCATCTAAGTAGTCTGACCCCTAGTCATCACTCCATGTCCCCTCCACCTACTGTCTTTCCAAAGCATTAAAGTCATTAAACATAATTAAACATCATATAACATGTGCTTTATTTGCTTACTGGTGGTCTTCCCTTTGACATCAGCTCCCTGAAGGCGCCTAGAGCGGTGCCGGGCACACAGGAGCTCCCAAAATGTGTGTTGAATGACCACGTCTCCCCCCAAATCGTGTCTCTGCCCCTCACTCCTGCCTGCCTCCGGTCCCTCCTGGGCAGTGGGTGACACAGCGGCATCTCTCCACAGTTCACGCCCGCCATCCGGCCGTTCCTGCAGACCATCTCCATCGGGCTGGTGTCCTTCGGGGAGCACTATAAGCGCAATGAAACAGGCCTTGGTGAGTCCTGGCCAGACCCTGCCTGCAGCCTCACCTCTCTCCCTGTCCCTCCTCCTCTTTCCACTTCTCCCCCCTAACCGCCCCCTTCCCAACCCCTAGGTGTGACGGCCAGCTCCCTCTTCACCAGCGGCCGCTTCGCCATTGACCCAGAGCTGCGTGGGACTGAGTTTGAGCGGATCATACAGAACCTAGATGTGCACTTCTGGAAGGCCTTCTGGAACATCACTGAGATAGAGGTGCTATCGGTGAGCACCTGTTTTAAGATGGGCACCCTGGGGCCCAGAGATCCATCCCAGGCCACATGAGGCCTCTGCAGGGCTCTAAGCCTGCGGACAGCATGTGATGTGATAGAAAGGGTGGGGATTAGAGGGGAGCCGCGAGAGAAACCCTGCAAGCAGCTTCTCCCCAGTGCCCCTCCTGCTTCCTCCCACTAGTCTCTAGCGAACATGACATCCGCCACCGTGAGGGTAAGCCGCCTGCTCAGTCTACCACCAGAGGCCTTCGAAATGCCACTGACTGCTGACCCCAAGCTCACGGTCACCATCTCACCCCCGCTGGCGCACACGGGCCCAGGGCCGGTCCTTGTCAGGCTCATCTCCTATGACCTGCGTGAAGGACAGGTAGGAGACACAGAGCCAAGGAGCACAGGCAGCTCCTCCCCAGATGCCCTCCCACCTTTCACTGCTGACGCCTGCCCGCCATCCTGTTTCTCTGAGCACATCCCCTCAGTGGGGTGAGGCCCAGGTGGGCGGCCCCGGCCTCACCCACATCCTCCTCCCTTACCGCCCCCCAGGACAGCGAGGAGCTCAGCAGCCTGGTGAAGTCCGAGGGCCCCCGGAGCCTGGAGCTGCGGCCACGCCCCCAGCAGGCACCCCGTTCACAGTCGCTGGTGGTGCACATCCACGGCGGCGGCTTCGTGGCCCAGACCTCCAAATCCCATGAGCCCTACCTCAAGAGCTGGGCCCAGGAGCTGGGCACCCCCATCCTCTCCATCGACTACTCCCTGGCCCCCGAGGCCCCCTTCCCCCGGGCCCTGGAGGAATGCTTCTATGCTTACTGCTGGGCTGTCAAGCACTGCGCCCTCCTCGGTGAGCCTCAGCCCCTGACTGCACCCACCCTCACCCCTACTCCTGCCCCAGCCTGCTGCAGCCCCCACCCCACACTGCACGGGGAGTGGGCCGTGGGTGCCCCAGCCTCAGTCTTGCCCCCCTGCCTCCCCGCTCCCACCTCCTACCACCCCCCTACTCCTGCTACCTGTTCATCCTCTTCCTGCCCCACTGCTCCCCAGACCTTCCACCTTAACCAACTCCTCCTTCCACTTCCTGCTCCCCACCTCCAGCCCTGACACCCCGCCCCACCCTCACTTCCCCAGCCCCCTCTGATTTTTTCTTTTCTCCTACTGTTTCTCCACCCCCTGACTTGCGCTGCCAGCCTCCTGGCCCTCGCTCCAGCCCATTCTTCCACTCCTCTGACCTCCTGCTTCTGACCTCTTCAGAGGCCCTGGGCAGGGTGGGGCCGCGCCCCAGGGCACAGGGATGTGGCTCTTTTGCAAGGTCAGCTGAACCCTGCCCTTCCATCTCCAGGCCTCAGCTGCACCATCCCCCCCTCCTGAAATGGGCCTTTGGTCTCCCCTTTTCCACCATCTGGCCTCCTTGCTTCTGACCTCTCGCTTCTCAAGCTTTGCAGAACTTTCTGACCTCCACATCTCAGTCCACCTGATCCCCCGACCACTATCCCCCAAATCCGTGCCTCAGTTTGCCAATCTCTAAAATTGCAGTTACCTACACCTTGGGGTTGGGGCCCCCAGACCCCAACTCTGACAGCCCTGGCTCAGAGCTGGAGTGCCTCCCTGCCAGGCTGACCAAGCCCCCTCCAACCCAGGCTCAACAGGGGAGCGGATATGCCTCGCAGGGGACAGCGCTGGCGGGAACCTCTGCTTTACCGTGTCCCTGAGGGCAGCAGCCTACGGGGTGCGAGTGCCAGATGGCATCATGGCAGCTTACCCGGCCACAATGCTACAATCTACCGCCTCTCCCTCCCGCCTTCTGAGCCTCATGGACCCCCTGCTGCCCCTCAGCGTGCTCACCAAGTGTGTCAGCGCCTATGCTGGTAAGGCCACCACCCACAGAGCTGGGGGGCTGGGGGGCTGCTTGGATCCTGCAGGGACAGGGGCTAGAGCCCAGTGTCCTGGAGCTTAGGAGAGGAGTCCCTACTGAAGCCATCAGATATTCTCGGGTCCCTGGGGACAGAGATGCCTGAAGTTCCAGGTGTTGTGACTGGGCCTCAGCCCCCCACATATACTCCCCAGGTGGAGAGACAGAGGACCACTCCGACCCAGACCAGAAGGCGCTGGGCATGATGGGGCTGGTGCGGCGCGACACAGCCCTGCTCTTCCGAGACCTCCGCCTGGGCGCCTCCTCGTGGCTCCACTCCTTCCTGGACCTGAGTGGGCACAAGTCCCACACGAACTCAGTGCCCACAGTAGGTGAGTAAAGCCCTCCCCTCACACCAGGAGTCCTGGGGGAGGAAAGGGGCTGTGACCTGGGGTGCTCGGGGAAGCAGAGATCACCTTCTGGCTCTAAGCCCCTATCTGTCCCTGGCAACCACCACGAAGCCTTGATTTTCCATGCCGGCCCACATCCTAGAATTTCCCGGACTCCTGGTCCACCGGGTCATCTCAGAACCCCCGGGAACCACAGCATTTAGCTTTCCAAACAGCCCGTCCCAGAAAGGAACCCTGGGAAATAACGCCGAAGGCCCGCCACAGGTGCTGATTTTTGATCCCGAGAATGCCACTCGAATCGCTTGGGCCTTCAGGTGGGAATCTAGCCCTCCTAGATTCTTTCCAGGCTTTAAACAGAGACACGTGGGGGTGATACCCTGCTCCAGGGGCTGGCCTAGGAGCCTGGGGTGGGGAGATCAGGAGGTTGCCAGCCTTGAGTGTGTGTACGGCAGCATCCCCCAGCAGCCAAAACACTTCCATCCAGGGATCTATTTTGTCCCCATCCTTTTTTTTAACAGTTTAATGATTTTAAAGTACAGCCAACTCAACTTATTTTCTATCTCCAGCAAACCAGCAGTATTTTCTGAATAACCGAGGGCACAGATTCGAAAGTAGATCCCATTCCTATTTGGAACAGTATTCCAATTGAATGTGTTTCACTTTAACTGTTTAAATTTTAGGATATTCAAATGGATGCAAATAAATACACACAAAAACCAAAGAGATCTGGGACCACTGAACCCTGAGGCTTTCCTGGTAGGGTAAAGGTGACAAGGGCCACTGCTAGAGGGACAAGCATGAGCCCAGCAAGCTGCTGCAGTGGGAGCTCGCTGCCTGCTGGGTGACTGGGGCAAGGTCCGCTATCTGTGAGCCTTGCTTTGCTCCTCCGTGAAATGAAATGAGGCACAAGAGTGCTTGCCTCACGAGGTTGTTGTAAGGACTTTGCACATTTGTCTGTGCCAGGCACCCAGCCTACACCTGACACGCAGCAGGTGCTCCTAGAAAAAGCCGGCGCCCCTGACAGGCCGTGCCCTGTAACTCTGGTCAGTAGTTCTATTCCAGTGACTCAGGGAGGACAGAGCCCTTATGCAGTCATTCTTCTGTCATCTTGCATTGTGCCTTCATGGATTTATAAAGACAAAGAAATACAATAAAAACCTGAAAAACGCAGGGTCCCGGCCCTAGGGGCAAGCAGCCTGGATGTTCTCCAATTAACGGAGCTGAGGCCGAGGTGGGGCATACCATGTGGGCCGGAACTCACCTCGGTGTCATCTGGACACTCGCTAGCCTGGCCACTCAAAAGGAAGGGATCAAACTAAAGAACATGAAGGAAATGTGGGGAGCAGATCTACACAGCTATGGGTGTGGGATCCCTGGGAACTGAATAGCTCCCATGACTCTCTTTAGCTCCTCCTTTCAAGTCATGTGCACCTGCTCACTATGTTTTGTTTTTGTTTTTAAATTTTTCAATGTTTATTTTTGAGAGAGAGAGAGCATGAGTGGGGGAGGAGCAGAGAGAAATGGAGACAGAATTGAAGCAGGCTCCAGGCTCCGAGCTGTCAGCACAGGGCCCAATGTGGGGCTCAAACCCATGAACCATGAGATCATGACCTGAGCCGAAGCCAAGAAATCAGTCACTTAACCAACTGAGCCACCCAGGCGCCCCACAGGCGAGGACTATTTTTATTGCCTCTTTGTACAGAAGAGGAAACTGAGGCTCCCAGAGGTAAACTGACTTGCATTTAACCTTCCCAGTCACCACACACACCTCCACCTCCACAACCACGTGACTCCTTCCACCTCCCGCTTGGAGTTGCAGCCTGGGGCGCCTGGGGCTTCCCACTCATCCCCAAGGAGGGAGAATGGGGGAGCAGTAGGCCTCCACAGCCCTAGGATGCAGCTCCTCCTCCAGAGGTCGCCCTTCCCATGACCTTCCCCGCAGCCACTCACCCCTGCAGCCCACCTGATCCTCTCCTCTTGCAGAGCCCATGCGACGCAGTGTGTCCGAGGCAGCACTGGCCCAGCCTGAGGGCCCACTGGGCACGGACTCCCTCAAGGGCCTGACACTACATGACCTGAGCCTAAAGGGCAGCTCTGACACATCGGGCACCCCTGAGCTGTCCCTGTCTGCGGAGACACTGGGCCCCTCCAAGCCCTCCAACGTCAACTTCTTGGCTGGCCCTGACGATGCACCCGAAGGCGCTAAAGCACCACGTGAGTTGAGCACCAAGGACAGAGGCCTGGGCGTGCACGCCACCTTCCCTGAGGGTTTCCACCCCAGGCGCTCCAGCCAGGGCCCCACTCGGATGCCCATCTACTCCTCGCCCATCGTCAAGAACCCCTTCATGTCGCCGCTTCTGGCCCCGGACAGCATGCTACAGAGCCTGCCGCCCGTGCACATTGTGGTGAGCGCCAGATAGGGACCGTGCACCCGGCGGGGGGGGTGGGGGGGGGGCGCACGCGCAGGAGCACTTGGGGATGAGAGCCCCGGGTGGCGGGAGGAGGGAGGCGAACGAGCGGGAAGACAGGGGAAGGTGGGCGCAGGTGCACCTTGGGAAGAGAGCCCCGGGAGCGGTGGAAAGGTAGCCTGCCTGACAGCCGGAAGGGAGAGGTGCGCCACCGGGACGGCACGCCTAAGGGAGGGCAGAAGGGGACTCAAGGCTTCCATTTCCTCTCGCGATCTTGTGGAGCGCCTAGGGGCAAGTGGGTAAGGGGAAATCGGGGCGGCGGGTCTCTAGGGGAAGGGAGAAGCTGGGCGGAAAGCTCCGTCTCTCACTCCGCGTCTCCCGGCCCCTCCCCTCGTGCCCCCGCCCCACAGGCGTGCGCGCTGGACCCCATGCTGGACGACTCGGTCATGTTCGCGCGGCGGCTGCGCGGCCTGGGCAAGCCCGTGACCCTGTGCGTGGTGGAGGACCTGCCGCACGGCTTCCTGAGCCTGGCGCAGCTGTGCCGGGAAACGCGGCAGGCCGCGGCGCAGTGCGTGCAGCGCATCCGTCTCATCCTCACCGCGCCCGCCGCGCCGCGGGTCTGAGCCCCAAGCCGGCCGCGCAGGAAGATGGGGCTGCGGGGGCGACACTAAAGGCCTCTTGTTCCCATCTGAGCCGGCCTCCGTGGTGAATGCGCCCCGGGTTAGGCGGCGGGGACACCCCCGCGAGGAGCTTCTGGCCCATCCGGCCTCCCCTCGGGTGGGGCGGGAGGGGCAGGCTGTGCCTTAAGGTTGGGGGACGGCTCCCGGGGGTGGGGCGGGGGCCGCAAGCTGAGACCCTGGCCTGGGGGGAGGGGGCGGGGGACGTACACAAACCGGGCTCCGGAAACAGCTGGAGCTGCACTCCTTCATTGCCTTCTACTGCTGCTGTGACCGCCGCAGGGCGGGGGCTTGGCCCTACCTCGCCAGTCGGTTTGGTTTTGTTCCTTTGTAAATAAAGTGTATTTAATTAGTTTGGCCTCTTGCAAGTAGAGTCGGCTGTCGCCCGCCAGGGGGCAGCATCAGACGCCGCTGCTGGGAACCGAGAAACTTGGCAGTAGAAAGCTGGCTACCCAACTTCTGGGTCCTGAAGAAGGGCCCGGATTCTTGGGTGCAGAGGGACTGGACTCTACAAGCACAGACCCGCCTCCCCTTCAGACTTAATCCGGGTGGTGTGCCAGAGGGTTCTCAGCGACTCCCCTTTACAAACCCAGCACCCACCAGGAAAAGAAAACCCAAACTCCCTAGAGAACTGCAGCAACTAGAATAGGAAACCAGAAACAAACTAGTCATCCCAAATCCTGGAAGCCCAAGCCCTGCCCAGCTATGATAGTCACTTAGTCCCTCAACTGAGACCCTGAGGCCTTGCCCCTTTGTGGGGCCTTAGGTTTGGGGCAGAGATGATTTCTATCCAGGGCCTGCCCTCAAGGGACTCATAGAAGGTAAGCAGAGAGACGCAGCCATAGGCTGCCACAGGCCACACAGGCTCCATCTGTGGTAGACAAGGAGGGCTTCAGAGAGGAGGTGATCTGAGCTTGACGTTAAAGGATGAGCACAAGTTTGCTATGCAGAAGAACCTGCAAAGTTGCGAGAGCCAAGGGGCAGTTAGCAAAGCCTCTGCCTGGCCAGAAGGTCAGGTGCAAAGTGGGGAGTGGCCTGAGGGGCCTGGAGTTGTCAGCAAGAGCAGATCTTAAAGTGCTTGGAGGGCAATCTGGACTGTAAGTAGAGGGCAGTAGAAGCCGCAGGAGGGCTTGGGAGGGGGGGACGGTGGACAGGATCAGCTAAGGCACTGAAAGAGAGAGAGCCTGCTCTGGGACATTAGGGGATGGACTGAAAAGGACAAGACTGGAACCGTGGATGCAGGCTGAGGACAAGGAAGACAAGGCCTGAGCTGGGGCAGAGGCCATGAGGGTAGGGAGTAGGAGGAAGAGCCGTAACTGAGGCTGAATAGGACTTATTGAGGGTAGAACAGATGTTACAGGAGAGCAAGGGGGGACTTGGCACTTGGGCCTGGCCAGGGAGCAGGTGGACAGTGAAACTGTGTCTTTACTGGGAAGAAGCTCGGGTATGTACGAGGGGGGTTGGCCGGGGGTGGGGGGGCGGGTTACTGAGAGCTGTTTTGCACATGGAGAGATCAAAAGGTCTTTGTGAGACAATCCAGCGGGGCATCCAGGAGGTGGCAGGAGAGTAAGATGAGTGCTCACTCTGGCTGGAGCTGAGGGACAAGAACCTTTCCGGGTAGGGTGTACAGGTGGGATGAGCAGAGGGCTAGGACAGAGAGAGCCCTGAGGACCATGGTCCCCAGTAAAGGAGTAGGCAGTAAAAGGTGAGTCCTGGAGGGTTCCAAGGAGCAGCCAGAGAGGAAAGAGGCTAACCAGGAAACAGGATGTATAGCGAAGGGGATTTCGGGTGGGAGGGAGTGGTCCGAGTCCGATGAGGATGGAAATGTTATCATCATGCCTCAGCAGGGAGAAGGGTCCTTGGTGACCTTGTCCAGAGCAAGGTCAGGGGATACGGGCAGCCAGACATGGGAGGGCTGAGGGAGTGGCAGGTAAGAGATGCGGCCAGTGGGTACCGTAAGTTTCCAGCTGTAAAAGGAATGAGAAATAATTCAAGGGAGCTTGATGCAGGTGTGTGTGTGTGTGTGTGTGTGTGTGTGTGTGTGTGTGTGTGTAGAGATGATAGAACATGTATTTAATGCTACCAGGGAAGAAAGGAAGGAAGGAAGGAAGGAAGGAAGGAAGGAAGGAAGGAAGGAAGGGAGGGAGGGAGGGAAGGAAGGAGAGACTGAAAATCAGAAGCACAAAAAAAGTTTCCTAAGGGGATGGGGACAGGCGGACTCTCTCCTCAGAGGCCCTCATTCACCCAATAAGTGACTTGTGAGCCAGCGTTAGGATGGGGGAGGGAGCCATAGCCCAGAACTCTCCCTGAAGGTCCTGTTCCCCCTATTGAATGCACAGGACCCCTTATTCATCTCTCCCAAAACAGTCTTCCACCCACCAACCTGCTCCTGTTTCCCGTCCCCATGTCAGGAATGGCTCCATCATCCCCCTGTACCCCAGGCCGGAACTCTGGGTCTTGTCCTGGACACCCCCTCGTCCCATAGTCCATCAAGCCCCATATTCTGTTGTTTCTGCCCCCTGAGTCTTGGCCTCATGCCCTCGGCCTCTGGCCTAATCCAGGCTTCATCCTCTCCTGTCCAGGCTCCTTCCCAAGCCACCCTGTTGGGCTCCCCACTTCCAATCGCATTCCTCCATTGCTGGCTCCAGCTCTGACCTGGTCTTCCCATGCTGTAAACCATTCCCCTCTACCACCCCACCCCAGGGTGAAGTCCAAGCTGCTGAGGCTAGCCTTCTTCATCCGCTTCCAGTCTTACAGTTACCCCTCCACAACCTGGACCTGACAGGCCTTCTTCTTGGACACCTACACACAGCAATACGCCTGCATGCCTCCCTTTCTTTGCTGGTACCGAAACACCCTCCCACGTGCTCTTCACCTTTGCTTGGCACTTCCTGTTCCTCCAAGATCCAGTGCCAACGTCCCCCCTCCTCTGGAAACCTCTTCCGGATCCCGCAAAGCCAAAAAAGACGCCTGGACTCCCCCACCTCTGGCACACCCTGCCCATCAACGTGTCTGTCCTCCCATCTGACAGGGGATCCTCTAGGGCAGGGCCTAGGACTGACTCATCTTGGTCACCACCACTGCCCAGCGTAAGGTCTGGGACACTGGAAACCTCAGGAAATGTTTAAGTAATAGGTGGCTGAGTGTGTGATGAGCGAGTGAGTGGCAATAGGCGGAAACTGGAAATCAGCAGAAGAATGAGGGCAGGAAAGACACACGGATGCGTGTGCAGGTCGGGTAGGAGCAGATGCGAATCAGGTTTAGGGTGAAGGAATGGGACGAAGTGATGAATGAGGCTGTGCATCCTGGGCTCAGTTTCTCCAACAAGGCAAAATGCACGGTAGCCCCAGCTAAACTGCCCCTTCCGCCTCGAACCCCACCAAACCTCACCGTTTCCCTCCCTAACTATGGCCAGAACCCCAATACTGGGCGTGCTGGAAAGGGCTTACCGACTGGACCCGCGGAACCTGTTTCCCTCACGAGTCGTCCCAGCCTCTGCGGCGCGCCGCGGGAATCCCACCCCGCAAGCGCCCGTCCTATTGGCAGGCTGGCAGAGATTCGCGGAGACTGGCGTCTTCCAGAGCCTATCGCTGTGCGAGCTAGGCTGTGGGCCCCTCCTACCACGGAACGTGCCCTGAGTGGCCCAGGGAAGTAGGAGGCGGAGCGTCTACTGGCTGGAGGATGGTGATTGACGTCAAGAAGAGCTTATCACAGCTAGCATCCTTCAAGTCAGACCCGCCTCAGAGGGAAAAAACGCAAAGGGGTGGTAGCTGAGGGCGTGGCGGATTGCAGAAGGACTCAGAATGTGGTTTCTGGCCACGCCACTGGGATCTGAGGGAGGAAGGACTGAGGAACCTAGACTTCTGAATGGTTGGATCTTGAGCGAGGAGGGAGCTGGGAACCTGAAAGGCCGGGGTGTAGGGACGGGTACTCCCAGGAGTCACCGGCCTGCCCAGGGATGATAGATTTGGGGTTCAGCATCTTATGTGGCTATTTATGGGATTGGAGCCAGGCCTCGTCCCCAGGCAAGAGTTGTGGGCCTAGAGGTAGGGCTTAGAATAGAGATGAAGAGGAGGAGCCTTAGGGGAAGCTCTGCCCTTCCCACATCCCCCAAAAGGGAAGCCGGGGTGCTGTCTGCAAAGGGAAACCAGAGTGGGAGGAGACACATGGAGACCAGGAGAAAAACATAGATACCAAGCGAGATTAAAATATTGAAAACAATAATTATAATAGAGCTCTCTTGTACGGGGTTCCCTGTGACCCTGGTTCTATGCAAAGCATTTTATAGAATTATCTCCTGTCTTTCTCATTACAGTTCTGAAAGATCAGATTATTATTACTATAATCCCCATTTTACAAGCGAGAAAATTGATGCCCAGCGAGGAGGAATCAAGATGCAGATGTAAAGAAACAGGAGGGATACAAAACACAGATGGAGATTAGCAGACAAAGAGATAAAAGACAAGCTCAGAGAGATTTCAAAAGGTAGACACAAAGGAGCGGGGCTAAGAGCAAGGCCTCCTGGGGTGGAGGTGAGGGGCTGGGACCTAGGACTCCTAGGTTCTGGGATTGGAAGGACCAAGGACTGGGACTTCCGGGTATTTCCTCTCCTGATTCCAAAATACCAGACTTGGCTAACCCTTCTCACTGTGGGCGTTGGGCCCGGTTGGGGTCGAAAATAGTGATTAGGAGGGGGCAGGTGTGTCATTATCCTATTAGGAGATGATAAGAAAATGATTCATGGGGGTGCCCCCAGTCTGGGAGGGGACTTTCCCCTCACGGCCTCTGTTCTTTCATCTGGACAGATTAGGCCTCAGGAAGGGCAGGGGAGGGGCAGGGCCCCTCTCCATTACTGTGTCTCCACCACTCAGAGCTGTCACTAAGCCCATCGTGGAGACACGTGGGCCACCCTGTGGCCAATAGCTTTCCTGGTAGGTCTTCGTCTCTCTGGATCTCTCTGCTTTCCCCTGGACTTTGAACCAATGCCCACCGGCGGTCTTGGCACATTGCAGGAGCTCAGCAAATGCCCCTCGAATCAATGGACAAACATCTCTGTGCAGCTCTTCCTCTGTCCCCATCCCGGCCATCTCTCTCCCCATCATGTTTCTCAGCCTCTCCCTGGCCTCACCCATCTCCTCCCACCTTCCCTTTCACACAGGCATTTCTTCGGAAGCCACTGAGCCCCCCGCCCCCATCCCCAATAAGAAGAAACTGAGGCTCATTTGGGGAGGAGTCACCCTCCCAGGGTCACCTGTGGGACATGTACAGGAGTACCTGGAAGAAGGGCTCCCAAGACCCCAAATACCCACACAGACACACTCCTGGCACCTCAGAGTCAGCAATGCAAGATCACACCAAACATGTGCCCTCAATATCTGCTTAGTGTGATCTTCATTTGCACCCACACAATCAGAGAATCGCAGGCTCCACGCCGTCACCTACAAACACAAAACATAAACATAAGCACACAATCAATCACCCTTACTGACAATACATGCAGAAATATCCTATTTCACATTGCAAAACAGACACCCCGGGCACGCAGTTACACGCCCAGCCACAGAGAGGCCACTTGCTCAGTTCCCACCAGGACCACGAGCAGATGCAGACATGGTTTCATTTCCTACTCCGGGGACTCCAGTACCTCCAGACTAGAATAGCATAAACACCATTATCACCAGCATAAACACAAAGTGTTTCCTGTGTGCCAGGCACAAGTCTAAGCACCTCGCATGAATGAACTCGTCCAGTCCTCTCAATCGCTTTATTTGCAACAGCTCATTTTGCAGATGGACAAATGGAGGTCCGAGGAAGCTTAGTGATTTGCTGAAGGCAGGAAGAGGCTGTCAGAATTTGAATTTGAGGGACGCCTGGGTGGCTCAGTCGGTTAAATGTCCGACTTCGGCTCAGGTCATGATCTCGTGTTCGTGGGTTCGAGCCCCGCATCAGGCTCTGTGCTGACAGCTCAGAGCCTAGGGCCTGCTCCTGATTCTGGGTCTCCTTCTCTCTCTGTTCCTCCCCCGCTCACGCTCTGCCTCTGTCCATCTCTCAAAAAATAAAATTTAAAAAAAAACATTAAAAAAAGAATTTGAACTTGGGTTTTCTGGCTCTGGAACCCACCACGCGAGGCTCCTATTCAATGAAAAACTCCTGCCTTCATCCAGTCAGGATTATAGAACCATGACAACTGACCACACCTGAACAAGGTGGACAGCGGGTAGACTCACAGGACAATATAGACACACAAATAGAAAAGACCCCCTCACACGTCATGCCCCAGCACACACTGAGACATCGTCACAACCCCCAAAGCCACACAACACCCAGAGAGAGAGGCACGCGCCACACGCAGAGACATGCCACACCCAGACCCAGCCTGAACTCCACTGAGTCCCTCCTGTTCGGCTCCCAGCCCCCTGGGCTGGCCCTCGAGGAAGCAGCAGGCTTAGGATGGGAAGAGGGGGCAACCTCACTTGTCCGCTCTGCCTGACCGGTTTCACCAGGACCATGGATGGCAGGCACCACCCGCCTTATGAAACCCACATTGGGCAACTGGACCCAGACCTGACCTGGTCGCTTGGATGCTGGAGAGAAAGGGGAGCCTGGGTTCTGGAAAAAGAGGGGCCAGGGACTTGGATTCCTCTCCCCTGTCTTTGAAGGCAGGGCTCCAGGTTTAGCAGATAACAATACAGGACACCCAGTTGAATGTGAATTTCAGATGAACAACAAATACCTTTTCTAGTATAAGTATATTCCAAATATTGCATGGAACATACTTACACTAAAAGTCTTTGTTGTCATTGTTGTACCTGAAATTCAGATTTAACTGGGTGTCTTATATTTTATCCGGTGACCCCACTGAGGGGATGGACGCCAGGTCCCTGGAGACCCCCATGGTCTCTCGTCAGCCCCTAGGCCTCTGTTCCTCCTGCTCCCGCCCTCCTCCTCACCCCTAAACAGGCCACTTCACAACTTCCCCACCCGATTTCCTCATCTTAGTGAGTTGCTGTCTAATTGCAGCCCTCAGGCTGTGTCAGAGTAGAGACAGGAAACTTGAAGATGGACCAGGTTGTCACCCTGGGAGACCTGGGTCCTCACAGATGACTGACCCTGAATCACCTGCAGCCATGGTCTGGACAGCTGGGGGATGGGGCCCTGTGGCTGCCTCCTCCGGGAGGCCTGGAGATGGAGAGGGACGTGGGGATGGGAGGCAGAGACCCCGGGATGGGATGAGGGCAAGAGACATAACCTTGGGGGAACAAAGACTCCAAGATGGGGAGACAGAGAAACTTGGAAATGGATTTGCAGAGATAAGGAAAGAGGGATTCAGAGCTGGCGAAACAAAGATGCAGAGATGGGGGCGCAAGGACATCAGACCAGAAGTGGAGAGGTGTTCCCCAGACGCTCAGGCTCCTGGACCAAGTGATGGACACGTACCAGCAAAATGCTGAGTGCCGCCTGTAAGTCTGGGGACAAGGACAGCAAGCTATCTGGGTGGCACTGGGCAACCAAGGCCTGGGTCCTGGCATGTTGAATCAGGAGGTGAGGGAAAAGCTGGGATCCCAGGCAGACAGGGTGATCCACCTGCCATCACTCCATACCTATTTCCAGTGGGGTGACAGCACCACCTTCTCTAGAGATGACACCCCAATTTTCCAGTGCCACCTACATTCTTGGGGTGACACCCGTGCTGGAAACCCCACCCGGCTCTAATGCTGCTTCCCTCACTGAGTCACTTCCAACCCCGCCAGGCCTGTTGGGGGCAGACTTTGGTGACTCAGGCATCCAGGCCCCTCTCTCTTTCACCCCTCAGGAGCCCAGCAGCCAAAAACGCCGGGACCCGCACACCCCTGCAGCCTAGCCTGAACCAGGAGTCTGCACCCCCAGCCCTCCTCCCTCAGACCCAGAATCCGAGCCCCTCTCCGTCCTCTGTTGGGGGCCCAGATGAAGACCCCCCGCACCTGCTCTGTTAGTTACCCCAGTGTCCTGGGTCACATCCACCTCCTTCTGGAACCACAGCTTCTCGATTCCCAGCCTCCTCCCTTCCCAATTTGAAGGTGGGGTGAGTTGTGTTTATTTACTTTAGTTTCAGCATGAGTCACCCCCCCAAAACGCACTGCTCCCCCCATGTGCCTGGTGGCCCCAAGGAGGGGACAATGCCCCCTCTTCCAGGAAAGTGGGAACCTCACTGAGGGGGACAGGAGGAGGAGCCCCCACTGCACTCTCCCGCATCCCCATCCCCTCCTCCCCCTCCCTGCCCCTCCACCCCTCCACCTCTGTGCCTCCTCTATGAATCTGACTCCCCTTTGCCTGTTTCTCCACAGATCTTTGTCCTCTGTCTCGGCATCTCTCTCTCCATCTCTCTATGTCTTCATTTCTCATCATCTCTCTGAATCTCCTTCTCTCTCCCATCTAGGCCTCCCCTTCTGTCTCTGTGTCCCCCATTCCCTCACTGTCTCTCTGTCCTCCCTGTCTGTGGGTCTCTATACTGTGACCCCTTGCACCTCCCTCCACCTTCTCTCCACCCCCCCTCTCTGCTCTCTCTCTCTCTACGCCTCTGCCCGCTCCCCTTTCTGTCTCCCCTCGCAGCACCCCGGCTCCCTTCCTGATTTCCTAGGTCCCACAGAGCTGGAGGGGAAAGTGGGGGGACGGGAGATGGAGGGGGAGGGAGGGGAAGTTCTTGGGGGGTGGGGGAAGAGGGTCAGCCAGACCGGCTTGGCTCCCTGGGCACCTCTGTCAGAGCCCCGCCCAGGGCCACGTGGCTCGCCCCAATATAAGCAGCTCCCGACCTGAGGCTGAGAACTCAGTGCCCAGGTCACTCACATCTGTCTGCATCATCGCCATCGCTGTCCTGCAGGTACGAGCATCTGCCCACAGCCCTCTGCTCTGTTCTCCCTCCTGGCTCCACTGACATCTCTGTCTCCTTGCATATCTCTGACCGTCTCAGTGGACATTGCTGTCTTTCTCCATGCCCTCGGTGTCCACCTTCTCAACGTGAGTGGTGCCAGGTTGAATGTGGAAGCCCTGGGGCCCAGCACCCTTTCTACTAACCCCCTTGGACTGGGCCATCAGATGTGGGGTTTTTCTCTTCACCTCTCTGAGCCTCAGTGTTCCGTCTGTGAAATGGGCTTGCAGAGAAGTCAAAGCGCTGGGAAGGTGTGAGCGTTACTTGCGGCGTCTTGATGGGCACCTGGCTCTGATGTCTCTCTCTTGTCTCTGACTCTGCCTGTCTCTGTTTCTTGATTTCTCTCTCCAGCTCTGCCTCTGGTATGAGGAAAGTCCTATGGGGTCTGTCGGGCAGCTGTACAGAGATGGGCGAGTTTCTCGCCCCTACCCCATTCATCCCTACTCCATGTTTCTCCTAGCTGGCAGGCTGACTTGGCCTCTTTCTCCCCAGCTCCCTTCCCCCTGAGAACCCAGACCCCAGTGCCCCTACCCCGTGCCCGCCCCTCCCCCAGTATCCAGCGTCCCTTGGACAGATTCGGCCACTGTCACCGCCGCTACCTCTGCCGCCCCCAACGCCACCTTCCCAGGGCCAGCAAGATGCAGTTTGAGATGCACGACAACGTGAAAGGCAAAGGTGGGATCACTGGATGAACCAGCAGCCCTTCCAGTCCCCGGAACCCGGCAGCTTCCCTCCCCTGGGCACCCCGGCTTCGAAGACAGATGGCGCCTGATTGCACCCCAGAGGCCCCTGGAAATGCAGGAACCCAGCACCCCAGGCCCAGATGTGGAGGAGGCAACAGCACGTCTCGGCCCCACCCAGATGTGGCACCCACCCTTCCCCAGACGTGCATGAGTTCCCCACCCACAGCTCAACCAGATGTGCAGGAGGCAGTGGCAACGGGGACAGCCTGGGGTGGCAGTGTGCAAATGTGGCAGTGGCAGAAAGGAAGGGGGAGGTGCAGTGGTGTCCCCTCCGCGGGCGGCCTGGTGGCCCCGCCCGGACTGCCCGGCAGAGGAAGGTGCTCCGAGGCGGCAGGGATGTGGGGTGCGGGAGAGGCTGACAGGCTGCCCGCTGACCCTGGCCCGCTACCTTCGCAGCCATGTCCTACCCAGTGACCAGTCAGCCCCAGTGTGCCAGCAGCTGCTACCAGACCCAGCTCAGTGACTGGCACACCGGACTCACGGACTGCTGCAACGACATGCCCGTCTGTGAGTGCCTGCAGCTCCCCCCAGGATAGGGGGAAGGTCGCCTCCAACCCCTTCCCAGGCCCTGCTAAACCCCAGTCCCGCTCCCTTCCTTGGACCCTGAATTCCCACACTCTAACCCTCACCCCTTCTTCCCACCTCGGACACCCCCAGGGATCCTGACCTCACCCCTTCCAGCTTCCCCTCGGACCCTCAACCCCTTACACCCTCCACTTTCCTCGTTGGGGCCCCAGCTCCCTCTCCAAATCCTATCTCTCAACCTCTGAACCACCCCCGCTGGGACCCCTCATTCCCTGTGGGACCCTCGATTTGGCGCCGCGGACCGTCAGCCTCGCCTCTCCCCGAGGCGGAGGCGGCCGGGGCGCCCCGTGGGCCCCGCTCTGACTGCCCCACGCCCGCCCCAGGTCTGTGCGGCACTTTCGCCCCTCTGTGCCTCGCCTGCCGCATCTCCGACGACTTCGGGGAGTGCTGCTGCGCGCCCTACCTGCCCGGAGGCCTGCACTCTCTGCGCACCGGCATGCGCGAGCGCTACCGCATCCAGGTGCGCGCGGGCGCGCGGAGCGGGGGGCGGGGGGGACGTGCCTCCTGGGACCCCCGCGGGGCGCCTAACCTCTCTCTCTCCCACCCTCTAGGGCTCTGTCGGGCACGACTGGGCGGCCCTCACCTTCTGTTTGCCCTGCGCCCTCTGTCAGATGGCGCGGGAATTGAAGATCCGGGAGTAAGGAAGCCCCCGCCCCTCCCTCCTCCTTTCCACCTGTCACGCTCGGCCTCCTCTGCCCCTTCCTGGGAGGGCGCGCCCCTCCGCCCTGTCCCGCTACCAGAAATACACCCACAATAAAAACCTGAAAACCAACTCCGCCTACATTATTTGTGTCCCAGGGAAGGAATCTGGGTGGAGAAGATTTGGTGAGGGGTGTGGGGACACAGGGAAGAAGCCTAGGTGTGGAAGGAGGAGTTCCAGAGTCAGATCCTTGCCTCCCCGCCCCCCCCCCCACCTGCGGTGTCTGACATTGCCAAGTCTCACCTCTCTAAATGAGGGAGTTCTCATTAACAAAGTGAAACCACTAACCCCTTAAGCTGCCTAACTGAAGTTCTGTGCGGATCCTGAAAATAAGCAAAAGCAGAAAAAGCTGCCTTGGTAGAGGTTAGACACTCAAAGACAAAAATTAGGAGAGCGCCCCTCCCCCAAGTCGATACTTATGGACTCTTGGCCTATCTACAATTCTAACATAACAGATTTGGGAGTTGGGGGGAGGGGAGGGGGTTTGTCTCCAAAGCAGAGAACTGCCAGGTTTAAGGCTCTCTGGAGCTGAAAATCATCCTTAAAGATCATCTAGTTCTCTTTACTGCGAAAGCAACTAGCAGATTAGAAAATCTGGCCTCAAAATCGGGCAGACCTAGGATCCAATCTTGATTCTTGCCACTTCCTAGCCGTGTTATCTGAGTGAATTAATAAACCTCTCTGAGCCTGTTTTCCTCCTCTGAGGACGATCCCTAGTATGTCATATGGCTACTGTGAGAGCAAGAGATAGAACAGATGGAAATCCCAAAGAGTGAGCTTAATAAACTTGTTAATATTATTATTATGTATAATAATATTATACTATCCTCGTAGTAAAATGTCATTCATATTCTTTGCTGTCACGCTCTCTCTCCCTCTTCCCATCTGTATCCAACCATCAAGTGACATCTTCGCTTGGAGTATGTAATGGGCATCGCAAGTTTAAAACCTAACTCGATTCCCTGCCCGCAACCTGCTCCTCCCAGCCTCCCCTTCTCAGGAAATAGCAAACCCCAGCCTCCCAGTGGCTCGGTGGCTTTCTTACCCAATGGCCCGTCTGTCAGTACGCTGTTGCTTCTACTTTCGGAATATATCCAGAACCCGACTTCTCCCCACTCCGCTGCTGCTGTCACCTTGTTCCAGCCACCCTCCTCCTCAGCTTAAACTAATGCAGTTCAGTGAGGATGGAGTCCTCACTGGGCCCCCTGCCCTATCCCTACCCCTATAGTTTCCTCCCACAGAGAAGCCCTGTGAACCCCTGAGTTAGGTCACATGCCTCCTGTGCTCAGAACCTTCTCACAGCTCCCCCTGCACAGAGTTAAAGCCAGAGTTCTCATTGTGGCCCAAGGACCTACAATGTGCCTCCAGCCTTGGTTGGTTCTCTTAAATGCTAGTCATGCTACCACCTCAGGGCCTTTGCACTAGCTGTTCCCTCAACTCTTCCCTCAGATGCCCCTATGGCTCATTCCTTCCCTTCTGCTCACATGTCATCTTATGAGCGAGGCCTTCCCTTCCACCTTACATTACATAGCAAGGACCAACCCCTCTTCAGCGCCTTTGCCGCCTTGTTTTTCTGGTCATGTAATGTACCACATCATTTACGTATTTATTTTCTGGCTCCCCGCTGGTTTGTCAGCTCCACGAGGGCAGGGGCCTCTTTCACTGCTGTGTCCCCAGCACCTAGGACAGTGTGGAGTCCCTCGTAGGTGGAGACAGTGAGTGATCACAGGTGGGAGACATTGACGCAGAAAAGGGACATGATTTTAGAGGTAATGGTGGGGGGCAACGGAGAGCCAGACAGGCTTGCATCAGAATCTGGGCTCACCTGTTAATCTGCCCTGCGTTCTTAGGCAAGGGATTCAGTTTCCAAATCTGCAAAATGGGGGAACCTGTACCTCCCAGCACTGACGTGACGTCAGGAAGATGAAAAGACACACCAAGCACCCAGCACACTACCTGAAGTGCTGTTGACCCTTGGTGAAATTTCTTTCCTTTTTCTGAAGTCCCTAGGGCACTGATGGCCATACACAGACTAAAATCCAGACCTCCCATGCCCAGGCTTTCTCTTGGACTCCCTGAGCCTCTTGCATTCAGGTACGTGGATACCAGGGCGAGGAGGTAACGTGGAGGGAGGAAGAACAGTGACTTGTGCTACGGGGCATCTGCATAGGGGCATCCGCACTATACAGACAGGAGCTGGAGAGGCTGGCTCTGCGTCCCAGAGAAAGGGTCCAGGCAAAGTGCAAACACTCTGCTCAGCGAAGCACAGTTGCAGGGTGGTGGCGGGGAAGAGACCTTACCAAAGGTCTGATCATAATGCAGACAAGTCTTGAAGAACCACCTTAGCTCCTTCCTGGTCATGCAGTGAACTCTCTCCTGGCCTTGGCCTCCCTCAGGCAGCCTGTCCTGCTTCTGGGTAGCATCCCGGGTGGGAAATGGTGCCTTTTCCCCAGCAGAAACCTGCCATCTTGAACACACCTGCCTCTAGTGCCTGCTCTGTGCTGGGAGAGCTCTCAGCTAGGCGGGCTAAGAACCTGCACCATCTCCTCTGTGCTTTCTCCTTTGTCTCCTCCTTCTCCCCTTATTCCTGGAGGTTCTCTCCTCAGGAGGTAAGAGGGCCTGGTGGTCAAGCATGTGGACTTGAGACTCACACGGCCTGCGTTCAAATTCACTCAACAGCTAAATGACATCTATGAACTTCTGTTTTCTCACCTGCAGAACGGGGAGCACACGCTTACCTACCGCATAGGGCTGCTGGGCTGTAACATGGCAAGCAAACGGTCTAGCACTGGTACTCAGCAAATGCAAGTTCACGGTCACGTCTTCGAGGTTAGGAACTACCAACGGCTCACCAAGGCAAAACTCAGGTATGGTCAGAGTAATCCTTGAAAATCCTTCACATTGCCCATAGATCTGAAAATACTATGATTTTCATGGACCACAGTGAGGACCCAACCCCTCCATCCCCGATACCCCCGCTGCCCCCCTGATCCTCCCCCTGCCCCCACCCCCCACGCTAAGTGCACCTTGCTACAGTGTCTTTGGCTAAACATAAGATGAAGCCGCAGGCGTACGCCCATAGGCGGGCTGAAGAGGAAAACATGTTGTTTACCACTCTCAGCCAGACTCCACGCTGCGAGGCCGACGGAGGGCACACTTCCACCTCCGGCACCACTGCTCTCGCTTGCCCTGGGGGACCAGAAGATGAAAGCTCTCGTGCTGCTTCCAGCTTGGGCCATGGACTAGAGAAAACCCAATCACCTTACGGCATTTTGATCTCTGTGCTGCCTCAACTCTTCCGTCAGAGGCCAGAATAAAACCCAAGCCTGGGACCAAGGCAGTCTGCTTTCCCTCCTGAGACAAACTGGGGTCTCCCTGCGCAGGGATCTGAGGAAGAGCCAGCGACCTCAGTGCTCTTAGCTCCCCTAGGTCTGTTCCTTCTGGGGAAGGCGGCTTCTATAGCGGCCTCACCCCACCCCTGCTCAGGAGGGGCAGGGAGGAACCAGGCCCAGGCCAGGCGGCTCTCGGAGGGGCGGCAAGGTAAGGGCACTGACTCAATTTACCCACACTTGGATGCTGTTTAGAGAATCAAGGACACCCCATCTCCTGCAGGCAGACTGGCGGTCAGACACCGGCCTTCCTCACCCTCTTTATTTGCTGCTTCAACTGCTCCTCCCTCTTTCAGACAGCCCCCACACAAGGCCTCTTGGACTGAGGCCCCCGGCAGATGGGAGGAGACAGGGCCCAGTTCCTCAAAGCCCAAAAGTACAGCTGGGGGAATGGAATCTTGCAAAAGGAGTCCCAAGTTCAAGATGGCTAGGATGGGGGCAGGGGGTCCTCAAGGGAGAGAGGAGCTCTGAAGTCCAAGGTGATGGCTGAGTGGGGTGTAGTCCCTAGAGGGAACCCACAAGCCTTCAAGGTGACACTGTCTGGGAAGAGAGGTGTGCAGAGAACCCCATTTCCATCTCCACCCCCCAGAGCCCTGGGGCAGCAGCTCGGGCATCCTCTCCTTGGACTCCTGCTGTGCTGAGTGACCCTGGTCCTAGGGTCAGTAACACCATCTGAGCTTTGTCTGTCCAGCCTACGGGTGACAGCTGGCCCCTGGACTGCCTCACTGTCCCACCTGTGATCAGCTGCGTCCCTCGCCAATCCAGCCAATCCCCTGCGTTCAGTTCCTTCCGCTGAAATGCAGCAGTCGGTTTCCCTGGCTGGACCTGACTGAAGAGATGCTTCAAGAGAGCATCTTAGAGTCTAAGACTGGACTCCTGATCTTCCCCACAAGCCCCAGGCTGCCCCATCGTGATAAACCACCCCAGTATCCACCCGTAGTTCAGGCTACAAAGTTGGAGTCATTCTGGACTCCCCCCTGCACCTTGATCCCAACATCCACGCCATCGTCACCTCCTCCCACACACATCCTGCACCTGTGCCGGACCCACGCCCCCACCACTGCCCTCATCCCCACCTTCGGCTTTTGCCCTGTCGCCTCTCTTGCCCTTTCCGACCCATCCTCCACACCACAGCTGAGCGACCTCTCGAATACGTACATCGGATCCTGTCATTCTCCATCATGAAACTGTCCCACGGCTTCCCGCTTGAGAATAAAATTCAAAACCCCATCTGGGGCCCACACGGCCCTGGGTGATCCCATCCCTGTCTCCCGACTCATCTCTTCCCACTTGGTCTGGGTCATGCTGGCCACCTTTCCTATCCTTTCAATGAACCAAGCTGGTCCCCACCTCAGGGCCTTGTCCTGCTCCGTCTGCCTGAGACCGACTTCCCAAGACTGAGCCCTCCCCATGGCCAGTTCCTTCTCAGTCGTTAGGCCTGGCTTCTCGGAATGCCCAACAGACTCTAGCCCCAAGTCCATCACAGCCACATCCTGTTGATCCCTCATGGCACCTCTCCCTCGTCTCTGTGTGCGTGTGCATGTGCGTGCAAGCACTGGTGCACACTGATTGTCTTCCTTCACTAGAACCTAAGTCCCATTAGATCAGGGAACTCTGTCTCGGTTCCTGCTTTGCCCCATGACTTCAACAATGCCTGGCATACAGGAAGTATTCAATAAATAA